TATATATATATGTGTGTATATATATATATGTGTGTATATATATATATATATATCCTGATGCATGCTCAATAATCCAGGTAGAAAAATCCAAAAAAGTTCAATCTGGTCCTCTGGACATTCAAAGAAAACAAAAAACAAAACAAAGCAAAAAAATGTAGAAACGTTTCGTCTCTCATCCGAGAGACTTCCTCAGTCTGAGGAGCTGCATTCAGCTCTGTCTCTTAAATAGCACCTTCTCAGAGTGGATCAACCAGTTTTGCTGCTGACAACCAGAACATGCTCAAGAAGGACCATCAGCCTAACAATGGATCATTAGCACCTGATGGCTGTTTACTACTCACAGAGGGCTGAGTGATACTAGCAATCACAGCATTGTAAGAGGGGGACAGTTGAACCTGGAGGCCTCCACCCCTGTTTAATGATGGACGGTTTCTTTTCACAAAGATGGCCTCCTTTACTCCTCTCTCAAACCATCGTTCCTCTCTGTCCAGGATGTGAACATCTTCATCCCTGAAAGAGTGACCGCTGGCCTGGAGATGAGTGTAGACCTCAGAGTCCTGGCCTGATGATGTTGATCTTCTGTGCTGGTCCATCCTTTTGGCCAGTGGCTGTTTAGTTTCCCCGATGTAAGACTGATCACCCTCCTGACACTGAACAACATACACAACATTGCTCTGTTTGTGCCGGGGGACTGGATCTTTGGGATGAACCAGTCTTTAATGTATTTTGGGGTTTAAAAGCCACTGGGACGTTATGTTTAGAAAATAAACGTCTCAGTTTCTCTGATACTCCCTCAACATATGGAATGACCACTGGTCTGGGTCTGTGTTCCTCCTTTTCACCTGATGGCTGACTGGAGTCCTGTTTGGGTTTCTTCTCTTCTTTCAGGAAGGCCCAGTTAGGATATCCACATTGTTCTAGAGCCTGTCTTGTGTAGGATTTCTCCTTCTGCCTGGCTCCCGAGTTAGTGGGGACGCTGTCTGCTCTGTGGTACAGAGTCCTGATGACTTCTAACTTGTGCTCCAATGGGTGATGGGAGTCAAACTGCAAATACTTGTCTGTGTAGGTGGGTTTTTGGTACACCTCGGTTTGCAAATGTCCTCTATCAGAGACTGAGACCTCACAGTCCAAGAAAGCCAACTTGCCATTTTTTTTACATCTTCTCGTGTGAACTTGATGTATTTATCCACAGAGTTGATGTGGTCAGTAAAATGTTGGACTTCCTGAGATTTAATTTTAATCCAGGTGTCATCAACATACCTGAACCAATGACTTGGTGGTGTCCCTGAAAAGGACGTCAAGGCTCTCTTTTCTACCTCCTCCATGTACAGGTTGGCAACAATAGGAGAAACTGGAGACCCCATAGCACACCCATGTTTCTGCCTATAATATTGCTCCCCATATGTGAAGTAGGTTGACTGCAGGCACAATTTCAAGAGTTGATACAGTTGCTCTGTGGAAAGTCCTGCTGCGCAGAGTGGTGTCCATCCATCCATCCATCCATTTTCTTCCACTTATCTGGGGTTGGGTTGCGGGAGTAGAGGCGCGGAACATGGCCCACTCAGACTCGATGTCCCCCACCTCCCCCAGAACATGTTCGAATTTCTCCTGGATGTGGGAGTTAAAGCTCTGTCTCACGGGAGACTCTGCCAGACGTTTCCCAGCAGACCCTCACAATACGTTTGGGTCTTCCAGGTCTGACCGGCATCCTCCCCCACCATCTGAGCCGACTCACCACCAGGCAGTGGTCAGTGGACAGCTCCGCCCCTCTCTTCACCCGAGTGTCCAAGACATGCGGCCGCAGATCAGCTGAGACGACAACAAAGTCGATCATCGAACTGTGGCTTAAGGTGTCCTGGTGCCAAGAGCACATATGGACACCCTTATGCTTGAACATGGTGTTCGTTATGAACAATCCATGACGAGCACAGAAGTCCAACAACAGAACACCACTCGGGTTCATCTCAACGGGGCCATTCCTCCCAGCCACACCCCTCCATGTCTCACTGTCATTGCCCACGTGAGCATTGAAGTCCACCAGTAGAACAAGGGAGTCCCCAGGAGGCGCACTCTCCAGTACCCCCTCCATGGACTCCAAAAAGGGTGGGTAATCTGAGCTGCTGTTTGGCGCATAAGCACAAACAACAGTAAGAAACTGTCCCCCCACACATAGGCGGAGGGAGGCTACCCTCTCGTTCACCGGGGTGAACCCCAACGTACAGGCACCAAGTATG